CAGTATTTATTAAAATGATCTTCTTTCAACAATAGCTTTTGACTCCACAATGGTTAAGCAAATACTTTATCTTTTCTCTTTTTCTTTTGTTAAGGAATACATATTCGTATTGCAGATAGGACACATCTACAAAAAACTATCAACAATGTAAATAGGATTACAAAAATACAAACACTGAGATTTTTTTTTAAAGCAGGCTAGATTTATTGTTTGCATATCATGTTAGGGAGCTACATTCTTTTCAAAGTCACTTATGTAGAGCTATTCACCTTAATCAAGGAAACTGATCACTTTATTTATTTGTAATCACAATGCGCAATAGAATACTCCATCCTAATTCTAAGCAACACACAATGTCAGCTTGTGTTGGATACAAAAGAGAACTTTAGGACGGAATGATTTTATTGCATCTTTGCAACAGCCATGGGCAAACTGCTGTTATGTGTAGCCACACTGTCTGCATCAGTAAATATTGGTTTTTGCCACCTCATCATTAGTGTTGTGGCAGCAGTGAGACTGATGGATATACGGAGGGACGGAGAGGATGGATGGGTGCCCTGTTTGAGCGCTGGCCGTCGGCCATGACGCTGCTGCTGTACAAGTTATTAAGAGAGCTACAAGTGGGCCAGTCCCTGGTGATTATATTTTTGAAAGGATTATTATGAGAGTTATTTTTGGGGGCTTCCTCAGTGTGCTCAGGCACTCACAGTGATGCACATACCCCACCTCAGAGCTGGCGAGAGGGTGGTTACATAACATGGGGAGCACTAGTGTGGCTGCACAGTGACGTGCCCTTAAAGCACCTTATCTTAAAAATATCATCACCAAAATGCATCTTGCTTAACTAAAACCAACAAAGCCAACATTCAAATTGTTCAAAAATGATCTGAATATTACAATAAAGTGTATTTAAACTAATACCTAATACCCATTTTTTCTGAAAACATGACAGAATCCATAACCATAATATGTGCAGTTAACATAGTTAATGGTTTTTTCTTATCTCTTACTTAACATTTTGTATTATTTGACTCCATCGCTATCACTATTGTCTTTTCTTACCTTCGTTGTTTGTGTATTCTGTCTTCTGTTTATGCAAATGGCGAAAATAATTAGATAAATTACTGAAATAAATAAAAGAATCATCACTGCAACTTCCCTGCTTTCAGGCAGCAGCTATTGCCAGAATAACACTGAGGGCCTGTTAACGTTGCTTTATTACCTTTGAAGATATGCTGCTTTGCCTATCAGTTTATGACCAAATATGCAGTAAAAACATGATGTATGACTACATCATCCCTTTCTCTTTGCCAAGAGGTGAGGTGTAAATGTTGGTGTGCCACTTTTAAACCTCAGGAGTCAAATTACATCACGCTCACAAGGACGGTAATATGAAATGACTGTTGTCCCACCAAGCAGTTTTCAGTGTCAGACTCTGAAGGACAATTGTCTAATTCCTCCGAAAGAAGAGACCACAACAAGGACGGACAGACAGGAGACAAAATAATAGAGACATCCAAGAGTGGACGTTTGGTGTTCAGACACTACAACCACCTAATTCTGCTCTCCAGTTAAAAATGTGTACTGTAACCCCTCTTCTTCACAATGTCCACCATCATCATGTAGGCCATTTTCTTTTTCTCAGCCCCTTCCCCCTTGACCCCCCAATCATGTCCTACTCCCCCCCCCCCCCCCCGGCTGTGCACTGTCTGAGGGCTGCTGGTTTTTTGTTCCTGCCAAATGAAGTGTACACCACATTAGGGTCATAATAATCCTTATTGTATTCTATTGTATCTAACAAAAGGAATTACAGGAGGCCCCCAAACCTAGCGACTTCACAGGAAAGTGACCCATACTAACATGTGCGTTTAAGACCTGAAAATTGTCGCAAAACGAAATCATGTTCGTGCGCTCCATCTTCTGTTCTCTTATACGAAAGTACTTGATGTTCCTTGTTTAGTATCCATTAGCATTTGTTTGTTTTTTCGCACTACAACTCGACATTTAATGGAATATTGTGCTACAATTTAAAAGAACAAATAAGCCATATGCTTTTTGCATGCATGCATTGTGAAATATAGCGAGATAGGAGAGACATATATAGCGGAAAAGAGTTTGTCACTTCTGCACGGTCACTCTTTCACAAGGACGCATACATCCAGACCAATGAGCACACTCTGTAGCTGCTTCCTCGTCACCAGTGTAACATCCTACCTCAATGTGGAGTCTCAGAAAGCCTGGGTCAAACAGCGCAGTCCTAGCGATGGAGTGATGAAACAGAAGTGTGCATGCAGGCGGCTGTCAAACTAATGGAGATTTCACTTTGCTCTCACTATGCCCACCCTCATCTCTCACCCCTCCCTCTTTCCTATTCCCTCCCCTCCCATCGCCACTCTCCTAATGCAATCCCTCTCTCCTCCTTTCTCTCCATCCCTGATCCTGCCCCCGATCATCCGTTGATCCCCCTCCTGTGACGTAACAAGAATGGCGCTTTGTTTGGAACCAGAGCATTATTGTTCACGTTACATTGCACAAAACTGGGCAGAGCATCATCACGGTGAGGTAATGTCGACCGGAGCGGTGGCTAACGCGTCGAGTCACGTGACCCCGTCATCAGCCTGACCTTCATAGGGAGCCATCTGTGACGCAGTGCTCCACTTATTACAACATTGAACATCCTCTGTAGGATTAATCTAAAACATGTTGTAGCTGAAATAGTTGCATGTGTATGATGATATAAAAACATTCCTGCTTTCCATTTATTTGCATGAGTTAACAGCACACTGGAGATGCTTTATTTGAGGGCCTTCTCACCTGAGGTCATATCACAGACTGTTCAGCACCATGAGCAGAGTTAAATACACCTTCATGAATATGCACATATGTAATCTCTCCTTATAAGAACAAGCAACATAATATAGAATAGAAATACCGTTTTTGGATCTAAACTGTGACTTTAGGTCAATAGATAGATGGTAAAGTTGTGAATAACCACAAAAGGAGAAGGACAGTGGCTGCTGGTTTTGTAATTGTTTGTATTACACTAGCAAAATAAATTAAACCTAAATTACATATTTTCTTTATGTTGATTACGAGCATACTTTTTACATGTGATGTACATTTTAATCATGTTTGGCAACGTGTAGAGCTGCCCCTTAGTCAACTAAACGTTAGTCGACCAAAAAAGTCTCAGTTATTGAATTATGTCCGGCATTAGGTCTAAAGTGTAGGATCATTGCCAGCGTGTAAAGGATGACTCCAAGATCAAAAATATGCCTTCCATATCCTCACTAACATATCTTAGCCTGCTTATATAATAATTCTGACCTGAGAAAAAGATAGATTCTAGTTTTGATTGCATGATGAGGGCTTAAAGCGTTGTGTTGTGAGAATAAATAAGCAAAATGTTCAGTGTGTGTCGCTGCTTGTTCCGACACACAAGGAACACCACCGGCGCCTCTTCTAAGTACATTTACTCAAGTACTCTACTGAGGTAAAAGTTAGCAGTACGTGAACTTTATTTGAGTATTTTCTTTTAGTGCCACTTTATACTTCTATTCCACTTTTTTTTTTAACCTTGAAAATAACTTTAAAATAAGATATTTTGATGTAGATAACATATCCAAAATCCTATGTAAGTACAACACAAACAATGAGTGGGTTGACCATTTGTTTTACTCATTGTTTGATTAATGTGTTCATTCAAAAATAGTTTGTACCTTCAGCTTTTAAAATGTTTTCCTTTTCATTTTAAAAATGTATAGTTTTTTCCTGCAACTACTTTTACTTCTAATACTTAATGTACATGTTCCTGATCATGCTTACATTATACTGATCATCTTACTTAAGTACCATTTAATGCAGTACTATTTTTACATTGGAGTATTAGTAATTCAATTAAAGGGGACCTATCATGCAAAATGCACTTTTTGATGTATTTTATACATAAATATGTGTCAGGGAACTCACTAAGTGTCAGAAAACAAAACCCTCTCTCTTTTTGTCCGTACTCTTTTTCGCTCCTATTACGTCATTGGCGACATCCGGCCGACGTGCCAACCTATCGTCTCCGGCACACGTGACACGTCCCAACCATAGAGGTCCCAACCATAGAGGTCCCAACCTATCGTCTCCGTATACAGTCGCAGCTGTGTGTCTGTGTATTCAGCAGGATGTCTGCTGGAGGCTTAGAGTAAAGTTGTTGTAAAGTGGATATATATATAAATATAAATAATGGCACTGTTCTAGCGGTAAACACTTAAGAAAGAACATGTCAAGCTATGTGCTGTATCAGAAACAATGCGCGGCGTGGTTTGGGAGTAATATGCTGTGTGTTTACATTAGCAAGCATGCTAACACTCAGAGCTAACCATAGAGCTAACGCTGTAGGCTACTGGAGAGAATATGTGTAACGTAATGTCCTTGTGGTAAACCCTGTGAGAGAGAAAGGTTTGAGCTCCATACTGTTTCAGAAATAAAGCTTGAAGTGGTTGGGAGCATAACATGGCATTTAATCACCGCAGCGTTTAGCTGAGCTTCTCCCGGTAGAAATCTCTCTAGCAGGGGAACGCTGCGTGACGCTACAAAGGGGCGTGGCTAGCAGCAGACATTCAATTTAAAGCAGAATCAGCCTGTTTGCAACAGGGCTGCAAAAGAGGGGTATGAGCAGTATGAGGCATGGCTACAATGGGTGATCTGTTTGGTATTTTAAGCAAAAAACGTCACAGACATGTTTTGTATAGGTATGGCCCTACAATATATGTTTCCAATATAGCATAATAGGTCCACTTTAAGTAAAGGATCTGAATACTTCATCCACCTCTGTACAGCTAGCTCACTGCTGCCCTCCTCTGGCTAGTTTGAGTTCTGTACATTTAATTATAAGTGATATAAATATAGTGCAATTATGTTTCCACATAATACAACACTTTCAGATGCCAAAGTATTAAAAGAAAGGTGACGCATATAATGGTTTTCCTCCTTTGTGTGTTAAAACTCACCCATCCCCCATGCTGCATGATGTAGCCTGCTTCGTCCTCCTCTAAGAAGCGCACCCCCAGCTGTGAGAGAGTTTGCAGCGACTCCCCCTCGCTCTGTAGAGCCTGGAGCAGCACAAAAGGGACGAGCACCTGTGAGAGAGGAGTAGCAGTTTAAGGGAGAGGTCATAAAGAAATCAAAGCTGTAGAGACACACAGTTAAGAGACATTCATAAACCTCAGGGGGACTCACCTTGCTCCAGCCTCCCTCTGTGTATGTCGAGAGATCCCGCGTCGCATCTCTAAATCTTTCGTAGTCCAGAGGCCTGAAACACACGCAGACATCATCTCTGGTAAGGACTACATTTAGTGTTGACATTTTTTTAAATGTACCTAGAATAAAAATAATTATTGTTAAGCCATCTAATACTTAAGATCCTAAATTGACTTTATTGTTCACCTTCCAAAAGCTATTAAAAAAAATCCACAGCTTCTTCCAGGTTCAAATTGTATTGTTATGTTACTGTATGTTCCATGTCATTTGCATGCGTTTGTCTTGTAACGGGAATGTATGCAATGCTAAAAACGAACAAAATAAATTGTATATTTACTAGGGCTGTCAAACGATTAAACATTTTAATCAGATTAATCACAGCTTAAAAATTAATTAATCATGATTAATCACCATTCGAACTATGTCCAAAATATGCCATTTATTTATGTATATTGTTGTGGGAATGGAAAGATAAATGAAAGAAGGCGGATATATCCATTTAACATACAGTATCTATGTTTATTATAAAACATTTCTGCGTGTCAAAATGAAAGACAACCCACACACCTATCAATCATCAAACCGTGGGGTCTTAATTCATTACTTGTTGATTTCTATCAACGGGGGAGTACTTCAGGAAAGTCAACAGAGGGGGGGGGGGCGGCTAGTGGAGTACTTCGTGACCACAGTGTGAACGTTGTGATCAGCTGTTTTAGCGCAGTTCTCCAGTGAAGGGGGGGGGGGGGGGGGGGGAGAAGTCTCCCTCCGCAGCCGGTTGGCGTAGTTTTGGCACAATTCCGTTGTAGGCCTACAGACAGGGCCGGCCCTTGGCATAGGCAGTATAGGCGAATGCTATGGGCGCATCAAGCCAGGGGGGCGCCGAAAATTGGGGGAAATATATATTTTATTAAAAAAAAAAAAAATGTAATTGTGATTTTTTAAATTTTTTAAATAAAGCAATTTCCCGATTTTGGATCAACAAAGTACATCTTATTATCTTATCTTAACAGAACTACGTCTATATTGCGTACAGAGCCCATACACTATGGCGGCGCCCCCCCCCCCCCCCCCTAATTCAGGTAAGTTGAACTGCCCCAGCCCCGCAGGCTGTTTATGTCCTCAAGGAGCGAGGGGGGCGGGTCAAGTGTCACTGACTGACACTTGACCCGCCGCCTTTGACCTGCTTTGACTCGGGAGAAGAAAACAAAGACGGTAATTAGCATGTCGAAAAGAACAAAGTTATCTGGTGCCCGGGGAAGAAAGAAAAGAAAAGAGGAGGAGGACAAACGGGAGAAAGACAAAGGTACAGTAACGTTAATGTGATGATGATTAAACAAAGTCAAAAAATGGATTGTAGTTACCGTTGATGGAACAGTTTAAACTTGCTAGCTTACTTTTAGACGATAGCAAGGTCGTTTGTTTGCTAGTCAATAGTTACATTTAGAGTTAACGTCAATTATTACCGTTACTCCCACCTTAAATTCAGGGACATTTGGAAAGAGTTACATCACCTGCTATATATCATCTACTATATCTGTTGAGGTGAGCCAATGTTTGCCCTGCTTGTAGTAATAGGCTAATAATGATAGTCATTAAAATGCTATTCCTTTTACATCCCCTCAATAATTTATAGTTGTAGGCCTTTAATTGTATTGCCTTACAGTTTATGCTGTCTAAAGTATGTTCAATAATCAATAGTGTAACGTTTACATCAGTGTTAAAATGCTTGTCACTACTGTAAATACTGCATACCTTAGCCTTTATCTTTAATATGCTATATTACAATGTATGTAGCTGCTTCTTTGCCATCTGGTAAGTCGCAGAATATGCAGGTGCATCTAAAAGAATAACTATATCATAGAACTGTTTTTCTTTAATTTAATAAAACAAATTAATCATATATTCTAGATTCATTATGCATGAAGTGAAATATTTCAAACCTTTTTTGTTTTAATTGTGATTATTACAGCTTACAGATCATGAAAATCAATAATCCTGTATCTAGTATAATATTAGATAAGGATTTATAATACAGATATTTCAATCTTCTGAAAAGTTTATTCAAATATGTACTCAGTACTTGGTCGGGGCTCCTTTTGCAGAGATAAATGCATCAATTCTACATGGAGGCAATATATTCCATGATATTCTAATTATTTTGTGAGCTGCTCCTGTTTTCTGATTTCTATAATATAATTTGGTCTAGCAAATATAATACATCTCTTGATGGTCACATATACTTCTCTTCTCGCTCCAGATGCACTATTGAAATTTGTTGGGCCTCATACCACCTCAGCAGAGCCCAGCCCTGCAGCATCAAGCGCTCCTGTCCCCTCCACCTCAGCAGAGCCCAGTGATACAGCATCAAGCGCTCCTGTCCCTTCCACCTCAGCAGAGCCCAGTGATACAGCATCAAGCGCTCCTGTCCCCTCCACCTCAGCAGAGCCCAGTGATACAGCATCAAGCGCTCCTGTCCCCTCCACCTCAGCAGAGCCCAGTGATACAGCATCAAGCGCTCCTGTCCCCTCCACCTCAGCAGAGCCCAGTGATACAGCATCAAGCGCTCCTGTCTCCTCCACCTCAGCAGAGCCCAGTGATACAGCATCAAGCGCTCCTGTCCCCTCCACCTCAGCAGAGCCAAGTTATACAGCATCAGGAATAAAGGCTTCACCAATAGACCCTGCCGACTGGCCATCTGTTCTTACTGATAATGACAGGACAGAGTTTGTTCAGAGTGGACAATATCAAATGAAACCTAGTTTTATCTTTCCCAAACAAAAAGACGGGAGAAGGTGTCAGCAAGACTATTTTAACAGAGTCTTAATCAACAGAGAAAAAATCAAAAGCAGCTGGTTGATGTATTCAAAAAAGAATGATAGCTTGCACTGCTTCTGCTGCAAAATGTTTTCACAGAGAAATTACATACTCAATAGGGAAGGACTAAAGGACTGGAAAAATGCAAGTCACTTGCTCAAGGTACATGAAGAAAGCAAGGAGCACAACACAAACATGGCAAAATGGAAGGAGTTAGACGTCCGTCTTGCCAGGGGGCTTACAATAGATATGCAAGAGATGGCCCTTGCTCAGGCTGAGAGAAATAGGTGGCGCGACGTTCTCACCCGATTCGTGGCAATAATTCAGTCCTTAGCAGAGAGAAACCTGGCTCTGAGGGGGTCCACAGACACATTAAACCAACCAGACAATGGCAACTTTTTAAAAGAAATTCGATCCAGTCATAAAGCAGCATGTTGGTAGGGTGGCAAGTGGAGCTGGCAGTCACACACATTATATGGGCAAAATAATTCAAAATGAACTGATTGACTCAATCAGCTCTAAAATACTGGACACAATTGTGGAAGAGATAAAAAGTGTAAGTATTTCTCCATCATTTTGGATTGCACTCCTGATCTGAGTCATAAAGAACAACTCTCTGTTATTGTCAGGATAGTATCACTAGTAGACAAACAACAGGTTAAAGAACATTTCCTGGGCTTTCTTGTGGCAGAGCAGTCAACAGGGGAAAGTTTGACATTGCTCATTCTCAAAAGGCTGGAGGAACTTAACATCCCCTTTGAGGACTGCAGAGGACAGTCGTATGACAACGGTGCCAACATGAAGGGTAAGAATAAAGGTGTTCAGGCTAGGTTGCTTCAGCAGAACCCAAGAGCTTTTTTTGTCCCTTGTGGTGCTCACACCTTAAATCTGGTGGTAGCTGATGCTGCAAAGAGCTCACCAGATGCTATAGGCTACTTTGGCTATTTAACAAAGTTGTACAAACTCTTCTCTGCCTCCACGCATAGATGGGACATCCTGCTGAAACATGTCAAAACAACCCTGAAATCGTGGTCAGAGACCAGATGGGAAAGCAGGATAAAAAGCGTTGAGGCAGTAATGTACCAGGCTGGGCAAATCAGAGAGGCTCTTCTGGAGGTGAGGGAAACAACTGCAGACCCTGTGGTGAGAGTTGAAGCCCAGTCTTTGGCTGAGGAGATTGGATCTTACCGTTTTATCATTTGCACAACCATATGGTATGACATCCTCTTCTACAAGATCCAGCATGTGAGCAAACTGATGCAGTCACCCTCCATGCAGTTAGATGTGGCTGTCGACCTGCTGAAGAAAACAGGAGATTCCCTCACCTGCTACAGAAGGACTGGATTTTCTGATGCACAGACAACTGCAAAGGAGATGTGTGAGGAGATGAACGTGGAGTCTGTTCTCAAGCAAAAGCGGTTGAGATCCACAAAACGGCAGTTTGGTTATGAGTCTCCAGATGAGCCTATTGATGGAAATGGAAATCACATTTTTTAATGTGGTTGTGGATACAGCCCTCTCTTCACTTGATGAGAGATTTCAGCACCTTGAAGAGGTAAATGACAAGTTTGGAGTGCTCATCAACTTTCCCACCACATCAAACGAAGAACTGCCAAAGCACTGTCAAACCCTGAGCTCTGCTCTGACCCATGATGGACAACCAGACATTGATGGCAGGGAACTTGCTGCAGAAATGCAAAATGTTCCACATTTGCCATCAAAGAAGATGACAAACATGGAACTATTGACCTTCCTTCATGAGAAGAAGCTGACAGAAATGTACCCCAATTTGTGGGTTGCTCTGAGAATCTCTGCCACTCTTCCTGTTACAGTGGCTGCTGCTGAAAGAAGCTTCTCAAAGCTCAAACTGGTCAAAACTTACCTGAGAGCTTCTATGGGACAAGAACGTCTCAGTGGACTATCCATCATAAGCATCAACCATGTGGTCTCAAAACAGCTGTCTTATGATGATGTCATAGATCATTTTGCTTCAAGAAAGGCAAGGAGAGTCAGGCTAAAAGGTAAGGTGTTGAGGTGTGAGATTGAGGCCTGTAGTATTTTAATGGTTGGATTTTGGCTAAATCTTGCTTTTAACCAAGACTGAAGTGATTGATAGCAAATATTTCGGTACCCAGAAGTAGTATGTTTAAGTGTTCAGCAAAGCAGCTTTTGTTTTAAATTAGTAAATGTTTCTGGGTTGTACTTCTTACACATCCAGCTCTTAAGGTGAGGCAATTAGTCTCTCACGGACTGTATATCAGTACAGGTGGATTGTGTGCCTGTCAGCAGAGGAGCAACTTGTTGCCCTGTCTGACCTCAGCAGGGAGCAAGTGGAGGGGCCATGTGTGAATAGGCCTTTAGAAAGCACTGGTGTGTTGGCGAGGCTGCTGACTGCAATTATAGGTTTTAATGTTGTATTTGTGTTAAAATAAAAAAATATCCCAAAAAACATATACAGCTTCTGTGTGAATTATTTATTTATTTATTTATTTTTTTTGGGGGGGGGGGCGCCATCTAAAATCTCGCCTAGGGCGGCAAATTGGTCAGGGCCGGCCCTGCCTACAGACCGACGTTAACAGCAGCCCTGTCTGTGCACACGGAGACCGACTCTGTCGTCCGGTGATCTAACCGCCTTCTGGAAAAGCTTCACAAGTAGGCCTACGTCGGTACGCAAATGCGCTTTGTGACACAAGTGACGGTACGCATTTCAGATTACGCACATAACCTGCGTACCAGTTATGTGCACCCCTGTACTACAGCAAAAGTATTCTCCGTCGGGACTTCCTGCAACAACACCACGCCGTTATCAAAGATGTTCTATTGAGAAGACGATCACTACGTGACAAAAGTTTTCAAAACCGTGGCTACTGAAATCAATCTTACTAACTGCTGTCTGTGCAATTTACTCCGCGCGAGTTGGCAGACTTTATTTTGCTTACTTTAACATCATTGTTCAAGGTGGGGCTAAGCCATTTCTTGGTATGGGTGTAGCCTACCCCAGCCATACCCTGGCGCTGCCACTGGTGGCACGTATGGGGCGGGCCATTCTGCACATGCGTTAAATGCGTTTAACGCAATTAATTCAAAAAATTAATTACCGCCGTTAACGCGATAATTTTGACAGCACTAATATTTACATATCCATGAAAAGCGTACAAGACCTGTTAAACTCTCATATAAGGCTGAAAAATTATTAGAATGTTATCTAAATAGAAATATAAGAAGGCAAAATGTGTCGAATAAAATAAAAAGTACCATGATTATTTTAATGTTTTTTAAAATAAAAATTAGAATAATGAAAGAAAAGTTGTAATTCCTCGAATATCATGAGTCATATCACAATTGCAATATTACTTTACATGTGATTTGTTAGACGCTTTTATCCAAAGCGACTAACATACATTCAGTACTGTGGACAATCCCCACAGGAACAACGTGTCTTGCCCAGGGACACAACGACATGCTGACTGCAGTGGGACTCAAACTTGCTATCCCCTGATTCCAAGTCCAGCACACTATCCACAAAGCCTCCCTGTCACTCAAAATACTGCAATTACATTTTTTTTCCAAATTGCAAATTAATAGTTGTGCAAAAACGTGCTACACAGACAGTTGGAAGTTGCCCAGGACAACCAGTCTTATGTGTTGGCCCGCAGCGACTCTACAGAAGCACCAGCAGATTAACTCTCTTGCTCATGTTAACAATTTATCTTCAACTCGCTTCAATTCATACAATTTGCAAAGGTTTGTTGGGATTTTTATCATCTGTATGAAGTCTCAAATAATTGTGTGTGTGTGTGTGTGTGTGTGTGTGTGTGTGTGTGTGTGTGCGCATATGACAATAACATCAAGCAACAACTGTCGGCTTGTAATTGAGTTAATCTCAGTACATTTAGAAATGAATCAAAACCTTTTCAATCAGTTTCAAGACAAAGTATTTGCCAATCTCTGCTAAAGTTCAAACATTCATTTAAAAAAGAAAACTACCTTAAGCAACAGGTTAAGAATATTGACACTAAGATTCACATTTATCCCACACGATATTAATATAGTGTGAATACATTGTAGTGAGGAAAAGAGCAATTATTGGATAAGAAAGTGTCAGTGTAGTTGCTGAACCGACCCAGCAATTCTGTTTCTATATGAAATATATATCTTGGATTAAGTATTTCTGAGCAGTCAAGACAGGCAGTGATCATCTCAGAGCATTGTTCATCTGCACTACTTTTGTATATATTATACAATCCATCACAGGGTATATGCAGGAATCCTGAAGTCAAATTTAATACCTTTTAAGACCTTTTTTAAGACCCTTTCCATACATTTTAAGACCTCATCGCAACTTTGAGTTCTAACCGGTTACATTGGCGACACACTTTACCTCACATTTACTATATTGATTGTAAGATAGCACAACTAAACAGAGTGCAGACAGACTACAGAAGCCTCCTCTCCACATGAACTTCAACCTCTCTGTGAAGGTCAGGTTTATGCTGCTTTGTTGCTTCTGTACTCTGTGCTCTTTCATTCCAGTAAAACTCCTCGGAAACCATTAGAAACCAGGATTTGACCAATAAACAAAACAATTGACAAAACTTTGAACTATGAAATATATTAAACTTTGGTGAGCTTCAGCGGGGTAATGCCATATAGGAGCTCCCTCACAAATACCCAGGGGTTAAATTGGGCTGGGGCTGTCCGGGGCTAAGCCCGGCACATAGGACGATGCTCTGACGTCATCACCCTCACATATTTATCATATGTTTACAAAAAACGATATATATGTTAAGACTTTTCTCGTTCTTAATATAGACTATATTTAGGGTCGATATGTGTTGACCTTACTTTAAAATAGCAGATCTCTGTGACCGGATATAGTTTGGCTTAGACCCCGGCCCCACGAGGACGCATACAGTAAAACACATACGCAAACGCAAAAAAGTCTTCCGTTCACACGCATTCGCTTCATTAACTTGTCCGTTCACACTAGACCGCTGGAAATGCTGGAAACGCTGTAGTGCATATGCCAGGCCTGTAAGTGGCGCTGTTGCCGCCACAAAATACACCAAAAGCAGCGAAGAAGACCCCGGAGCATGGTTGTCATGGTTGCCCTTCTGTTTATTCTCCGCGGTGGACGGCGTGTTCTCCTGCTGTATATCTCTCAGGTAGTCCACCAGCAGATAACCAACCCCCCCCCACAGAGCGGAGCAAGGCAACGAAACAAAACTTAAAATAAGAAGCAGCATTTTATGGCACGCTATGCATGGGGCCACCTTGAGGGGGTTTCCCGACATGTTGTTTCAGTAAATTAAAGGGTGTTTCATGTTGTCGTTGCTGTGGACCTTCTTAATACCTTGGAAAATGCCGTTTAATACTTTTTAAGACCCTGCGGACACCCTGCATCATGACAGTCAAAGAGTTGACCACTGACCTTTCGAGGAGTGTGTGTACGGCTGCTGCCAGGTGTGTGTCGAGGTCTACGGCCACCCGGTCTCCCACGGCAGCGAGGCAGTCTTCTACGGAGGTCTCTGGGACGGTCGGGTTAAACACCAGCGATGTGTGCCGGTCGAAGCCTGATGTGGAACAAGCTGCTCCACACAGAGGAGGGGAAGGATGACTCAGATCATTTAAAGAAATTATTCACATTGCAGAAGAAAAAAAAATGTGTGGTTTGCTCCACAAATTAAATGCACATCAACACATACGCTGATGGTTAGTCTGAAGTCTGGGTTACTAATGTGAGTCCAGTTCTCTGAGTAGAAAATGAGTGTCTATCTGTCAATCAAATATCTAAGCTTGTCCTTGCTACACATATACAAGGAAGGGTGAGTGACTGACTCACGCTTCTGAGAGAACCGTGGTTATGTAAAGAAACCAAAGTCCTCTCTCTATGCATACATTTCATGTTTTACATTCACAAAGATTGAACTTTGGATTCCACTACACAGGCAGACACACGGTATGAACAAAGAATGGCACAGGGAAAGACAACATGGAGTGTGTGTGTGTCCACTTACAGGCAGCAATTTCATCTTCCAGTTGTCTCAGCTCTTCTTCATGGCCTTTTGTCAATGTGCTACTCTCACTGTCAATCAGAGCATCTCCTGAGAGAGAAAGACACATGACATGAACCAACGGCCAAACAGACTCACTATTCCTAAATTCTATACAATATACAGTATATAGCACTTTAAAAATAATTTAAAACAAACACTAAAAGCCACATACACTTGACTAGAAATATTTCATTCCCTTTTGTGCTTTCTATTTATTTTGAAATGTTGAATTCTGCAGCTGTATCTGAAATGTTATCAAATCTATCAATCAGAATCAAATACTTGATTTATCCCAGAAGAGATTGGGTTTGTGAAAGTGGCTCCATTTTAAAAATAAACAAGTAAAATAAAAATATTTACATCAAATATATGTCCATTAAGAAAAAGTTAAAGTAAAAATGTGCAATTCAAAACAAAAATATATATAAAGAGATTTATATTAACATAAGACATTTAAAAGTAAAAATAACTGACATTATTGGATTTGATTATAAAAATGGGATGTATATGTATTTGCTTGACTCATAAGGACAGGTTAATGATGTCTGCACATTTGGCATGACTCTAAACACAGTTTGCCAAACACAGCAGTAGTGCATGTATAAGGGGGGGGGGGGGGGGGGATAATGTTTGCATGCTTACGTGCAATACTGTACCAATACTGGTGTTCTTGTGTCACATTCATAGATCATGTTAAAAAGGAGCAATGAGTTGGATATTCTTTAAAAAATAAGGTAAATACTTTGCTCATACATAAATTACGCCTTTCAATTATCAGCTGTGAAAGAATTAAAAATATTAGGGCGAAAAACCAGGCGGGCAAATCTTGTTTCCAAACTCAAATGAATCTGAGGTCATAACTGAACCTTGTTTAACCAGGGAAAAGAGGCTCACTTTGAATGTCGCGTGTACGAACTGAAACCGATATTCCTACACATTGTGCTTTTAAGTAAATTATTTACATGATTCAGTCTGCACTGCTGGGGGAATGTGGAACCATGTGAGAGGTGAAACCGACACAAAGGCTGCTGCTGTGTGACCATGACTTTAAGTCACGCTAAACACATTCTGAATGTAGCTATTTAGCTTGGGAAAATCCACCAGCAGTCATTTGATAAAGAAGGGTGACCCTGCTGCATTACACACTCAACCCAAAGACATTGGTTCTTTCTACTACCATGGAACTCTTTAAGAACAGCTAAACTGGGGACGAGCAGCCAATAGAGGACGAAACACGATGACCTTGAAGTATCATTCTTAAAAACTAACTGATGTGTTTTTCACTGTTGAAATTACAAACTGGCGTTTGTTTGTTTTTTAACAGGAAGGAAGAGGACGCTCAGCAGAACCCTTCTCTATTCTCTCTGTGTCCCCTCACCCTATAGGAACGCCCCGAGGGCCACTGTTGGTTTTTCCTGGGCTCGGTGCTGTTTCAGCTTTCAGCCAGACAGCTAACCGGCCAACTATTCTGCTCTGGTTCAATGGCGTGTGAGTTATCCTGCAGTGATTCCACATGACAGGCTGTCAGAAATTGGACCGGGTCAAGCGGAAAGCAGGGATCAGCCACTTATCTGCCCTCCTCCGCCCATTCTGAGCACGCACACAACAATAAGGGACCAGAATTAAAGAAAACGTGTTCTTTTTGACATTTGGCGCTACGGTTTTCTTTAAAATAATACAACGTTTTTTTGGTTGTGCAGAGGGAATGACATGCATGGCATAAAATGCTAACATTTCTTATATTTCTAGGTGTGATGTTTCTCTTTCTCTAATACATCATATTTGTTTCCTCATTAAAATGTCTCAAAAAGTCTTCACATATTTATAAAATAACTACCAATGTGACACATCTCCAAATGTGAGACAAAAACATCATAACTATTTGTTCAAACTGTTGTGTGTCATTTGTATGCTAAGCACAAATGCTACAAAATGAAAAACAGGCATGCTGCAAGCCTGGGGCACAAACTTGCAATACAAGTCAAACCAGTCTTTGCATCTCTGGACACCATATTGGAAAAGTTGAAGATGAGCTTACAGGGAACCTCACATGACATCTACTTGTCTAAAACGCTGGGGACTCCATAACTGTCTTTTTCAAATTACACACAAGTCTCTTACAATAGGTCACAGAAGGCTACATGGAGCTAGAAAACAGGTGGCAAGCTGCCTACACACCCTGCATATTCTTTTTTTGGCCATGAGCACACAACTCTATTTGTGTGCGGTGTGACTGGCTGCACAAGTGTGAGGTTTGCCTGAGATATGCGGCGCACACACTGCACAAGTGAAGACACTGTGGAGAGGTCCATAACCTTGGCAGTAGCTACACTTCAGTAATGAGTAGTTTGTCTTTTGGGGACATTGCATTTCTGCATTTTCAGACTGAATCAATACCTTAATCACACTAAAGTACTTTAAGAACCAAATTAGCCGCTAATCTAAAGTCTTTCTTCTCACCTTGAACTGTGTTGCGTGCCTGTGATCTATTAACAGGCAGCATTCCTAGATAGTTGAGCACAATGTACTTGGTTTCATAGTGGAAACCCTCCGGCACAGTGGCAGTGATGGAGGCAGAAGAGGTGGGGCCTGAGGTAGCCATTGAACAGACGTGGGTCAGACTCTCAGGCACATACGTTGTTACAGTCAAAGCTGGACGTCTCACCTGAGGGAAAAAGGAGCAAGGAGGAGGATCATTTACTTATTATTTAGACAATCATGATTGAGGCTGCACAGTGAAATCTGGCACCCATTAATAAAACATGATCAGTGTAGAAAAAACGTCCTGATGACATCTGTTGTTGGATTGTAAAACAGCTGTTCGGTAGATGACTGATTATAAATGTCCTACTAAGTGTATCATAGCATGATAGCACATTATCCTATGCTCTTTGTGCCAGGTGGACATCACTTGCCCATCTGGCAAAGGGGTGATAAAGCTTCAATTGGTCATGTCGTTTTTGCTGCCTGCATAATTGATAACTGATAATAACAGAGGAAGATTGAACTATGACATGCCTATCTCACACATGCAGGCTATATAACGTTACTGTACATACATCATGACACAGTCCACTTACACGTGGTGAACAGTGGGGCGTGAAAAAACCTTCAACAAAAGCCTTTACTGAACAAATGTTTCCAGTCAATGTAAATGGGTATATTATATACTGTTACGTTTACTGTGGTTTTCTGGATATTAAACCACCGTTTAAAACCTTACCGACTAAAGAAAGGTTGAGTTTAAACGATCACATTGTCCTCCAGAGGGGAGGTGACACCATGCGGACCAAATTGTCAAGTTTGACAAATAAAAAAAACTACAACTTCCGGATTCAACTGTCAAAATAAAACCTCTTGCTGGCTAATGAGTTATACCAATGTATGTGCAAATACAAATATTATAACTTGTTGAATTATTATAACACAACTAAATACTTTAAGTTTGTCCTTCATGTTTTCAAAGTGACAGCATGGACCCAAAGAATAGCCAAGATATTTGCTCACTTCATGAACCAGCCATTGCTCGTTAAACAATGAACTGTCTAACGTTACCGGACAAATTACATAAGAGTTACACTTAAAAAAAAGCCGGGTTTTCGTTCCTTTCCCCGAAACACATCGGCACATACGCAAGCTATAGCTAGCTTGACGTGACACGCTTTATCCGCTATTTTGGTGACGCAAAAAACTTAAATGTAACTTAAATGCAACCAAACTGGAGTCCATTTCTTACCGTCCTTGGCCAAAGGCAAACAGGTGCTGACAAACGACAAGTTGAAGGAATATATGCGACACAGTCCCCAGCAGCAGCAGCTGAAGAGGCACAGCACCACTGGCAGCAGCACTAGCACACGGTGTGCTTTGGAGAGAGATACAAGCTGGCGAAAGTACAGCACCAACCTTCCTGTCATACCTTTCAAAATAACACTCTCATTAGTGGCGAACGGTCCTACCATTTTTGAAAAAATAACACTGATAAGGTGACTTAGCTTTAAAGTAAACGTGTATGACATTGAGAATTAAGTAAGCTTTCCAGTGTATCCTAGCAACTGCACGTAAAGGATATCAGTTAAGCGTGTGTAACATAATTCCCCTAATTGGAAAATGACATCAAGGTCATTAAAGCACCTTTCAATAACCTGAACTTTTGCACAGTTTGTATCCATAAACATATGGGCGTAGGAAGCATCCTGAATGTGGGGGGGACATTCACATTTATTTTTTTGATTTCCTGTATTCAGTGGCGGAGCCAGGACATTTTCAGTGGGGTGGCCAGGATGGAACCAGTAATATTTTTGGGGTGGCATTGAAATCACTATTATATGAACATAAAAATACATCTCACTAGAAAACAAGTGGTTATTTAAGGCACCTACAACACACTATCTACATTATTGGGATTAAGTGGTGGAACAGATCAAATAATATTCAGTATATCTAACTATTTTTTTTTCTTATTCCCACAGGCAAAGTAACAACGAAGCTTACATTATACAAATGTAATGCAATATATACAGACTGTTTAGCTTATGGTGATCAGCAGCACTATGAGCTCATTCTCTCAGTGTATCATCAGGAATACAGACACACACACACACACACACATCATTTAAATAAGAGTTTTTAATTCATTTCATTTCATTTAAAACCTTTATTTAACCAGATTGGTCCCATTGAGATCATAGATCTCTTTTTCAAGGGAGACCTGCAGCATATAGGTTCCACATGAAACATAAAACAATAAAGGACATCATACATTATATTTACAGGATACATTTACATAGTTAGACATTTACAAGTGGCCATAGTATCAACAAGCATTTCATTTAGCCTAGCTTTAAAAACATGCAGAGGAATGAGATTGCTCAGTTTCAATTATTGCTGAAGATTGTTCCAAGCAAGTGGAGCTGCGCACATAAAAGCTGTCTTACCTAAGACAGTCCTTGCTCTTGGCACATCTAACAATACTACATCATGCGATCTCAGACAATAGCTGCTTGCAACTCTCTGTGTTATCAGAGAGCAGATATAATATGGGAGTTTACCCAACAAAGCTTTATAAATAAACGTAAAATTAAATTATTGGTTAAGAATAAACATCTTAAAGTAAATAACAATAAACAATAGCCCTTAACCCTGTAAGGCCCCCGGTTGTAATTTTACAACATTTCTTTAAGCTATCCTAAAAAAGTCAGTAAATGTTTTTTTTTTTTTTAAAAGACTACATTTACATAGTCAAAAGGTCCTTTTGTTCAGCCTCACAATGCTATTGGGTAGGAAATGTGTGTATAGGTCCTGCCCTCTGGCCATACACTCACACAACCAGGGGCGCCGCCAGGGATTTTGGGCCCCATGAAAATATATCACATTCGGCCCCACCACCAGGCCCAGGCCACGCCAACCAAGCACAATTGCTGTAACCACACCTCCAGAATCCAACCGACTCATTTATGCTTTAAATAACTCTACCTAGGCTTGCATCTATCTTGTAGTCCAATACTAACCGCACAATATTTACTGACACTGAGCTGTGAAAATATAACACTGTGCAGACGAGTAACATTCTGCTGCAGTATAATTCACTATTTGATATAAGACTAACATTCCTGACAATAGATCTCAATAGCCATCTTTTATGGTGTAAACGCCTTTTTAATAATAACGTTTTTGAATGGAACATTCTCAACATGAATGCATAAAGCCAAATAAATATAACTTAAATATGTGGAAAAATATAGTGTTTGAAATGTATAATTGAAATTAGATGTTAGCTTTTTGTTTTGATATAAATATATTGGGGATATGGTGTTTACATGAGCACAGAGAGTTCGGGTTATTCATATTCCCTGTTTACATGATACATACTAGTAACCTGGCATTTCGATGCCTTTTCTCATCTATTCAGTATTTGTATCTCTCTATCATGACATAAAGACGAAACTCCGCTCCAGAAATGAGACGCTTTTTGCCGCCGCCGCCGCCGCCATCACTGTTAACTGATTAACTGCTACCAGCTGATGACTTACTTTCCTCTTCTTTGAAAAAAATGTTCGTAAGTCCATGTTGTCTGGGGGAGAAAACACATCAAACCAAGAGATCATCAGCTTTGATTTTCGCTGTATTAACAATGTCCTGAACATTTGGTCTGTGTGCCTTACCTCCGCGGTGCATAATTTGACACAACACCTGCATCGCTTCAAACAACAGATCTGAGCTGTCCACCGTATCTATGGCAACACTCCTCGAACATGCGCGCGCTATGTGAGAATCTGCCTTGGTACAAAGTAGCAGTGAAAACATGGTACAGATTTTCATTGATTCATTGATTCTCTCAATAAGCAAGTGGAATGGATTTGATAGTGAAGCACTGACACAGCACTCTACAAAGAGCGGCGAGTGGATAGACCGATGCACGGACTTTCCACATGGTAAAAGTGTGTGTGTGGGGGGGGGTCTAAACTAATCATTTGAAAAGGTGGGGGGACTTGTCCCACCCTCATATAATGGCTGCGACGCCCAACCTGAACAATTTAAAATACCATACAATATATCACGTATGGGATCTTGCAATTATATATTTTAAAAAACTGCCAGAAAGAGTGCAGACGATCCCTTGCATAACATCTTTAATATTAGCATTGTTAAAATAAATATCTCAATAGTATTTCATGAGTCATTCTCTATGTTTGTTAAATATTGAGGGGGGAGTGGCGCCCCTATCTTGAATAAGTGTATTATTTTGAAACGTATGACCGGATGTTGTTTCTTGTCTTTAACCCTAGCTCGACGAAAGAATGCAACAAGAAAAGGAAAGTGTTTTCTACCAACTGTCAGTGTTTATCTGCATCGTACAAGTGTTAGGGAATACTTTTTGACCTTTTTTGACAAACGTTAAATAAAAATAATAACATATTAAAGACCAGTCATGGCGCTCACCGATGCTGACGTACAGAAACAGGTAAAGTAGACAATTTTGACTCTGAACTGTCAAGTTTAAAACTATTTATCCCAGTGACGAAGTTATACATTAAGCTAGCTGTAGCTTAACATGACAAACATTAACACTTTCTAACGGGCTAAAACTAGCGTCAGTAGCTAAATCATTATGCACAAGCTAACTGTCGTTAACTTATGAGGTTGTTACTAAACTCCTTTACGTGACACTTTATTTAGTTAAAATATGGGTTATTTAAAAGGTTAACTGTTGTAAAAAAAAAGAAGCCAATCAAATAATCGTAATGTTCCGTTTCATATATTAGGGTTAATATTTTAGTGCTAACATTATTTAAATTATGTGTTTAAGTAAGTATTGGGTTTTTGTTTGGTATGTACATGCATTTATAAGGTTGACATAAGCTTTTTGTGACATTTTAACAGACTATTTTGTTTTTGCAGATCAAGCACATGATGGGCTTCATTGAGCAGGAGGCCAATGAGAAAGTTGATGAAATTGATTCTAAGGTCTGTCTGTCTGTCTGTCTGTCTGTCTGTCTGTCTGTCTGTCTGTCTGTCTGTCTGTCTGTCTGTCTGTCTGTCTGTCTGTCTGTCTGTCTGTCTGTCTGTCTGTCTGTCTGTCTGTGATGTTTGCTGCAGGGATCACAGTCACTGGTCTTGTCATACCCATCTGTTTACAGGCGGAGGAAGAGTTCAACATCGAGAAAGGGCGTCTGGTGCAGACTCAGAGGGTGAAAATCATGGAATACTATGAGAAAAAGGATAAGCAGATTGAACAACATAAGAAAATGTGAGTTTTCCGTCATTTGTAGTCAGTTTGGAAGATAACTTAATTGACCAAGGAGTTTGAGTAAACCCTTAGCAGAGAAAATCGAATTTACCCATTGGCCCTTTTCAAAATGTTTTACTTGAAAAATGTAGTTACAGTTAAGGTTTTAGAAAAAAATGAAAAACTTAATGTCAAATAGATAGACCTCAAGTCCGACATCTTTGATTATTAACTGTCAGACATTTTACATATCTGAACTAACATAACGACTGTGTCAACAAATCAGTTCTCACCAGATGAATATATATTTGTTCTCTTTGCTCTGTTATTTTGTTGTTTGATAAATTCATGGAATCTCATTACAGTTTAGTGTGGCTACATATTTGTAACTAAATCTCCATAAGAGCATGAACATCACCATATCTGCAGTGTAAAATCCAATTGTGCCGGCAAGGGTGTTTTTTAATCAATGCAATGTGACGACTGGGTATCTCTCTGAACATCTGGATTAAAGGCGTGCAGCATTTCATGTTCATGTCTGCAGATAATACATTCGTTGACCTTTCCTTTCACTCCCACAGACAGATGTCCAACCTGTTGAACCAAGCAAGGCTTAAGGTGCTGAAGGCTCGGGACGACATGATCACGGTAAAATCAATATGAATATTTTACACAGTTCATGTTACACATCTGACACATAACTTTCTCACATTTACATTCAGTATATTGATAGGTGAATACAAAAACACATATGATAAGGTGCATGAGTGCTTATGTTTTGTCCTATAAAGATGTGATGAGTTAAATCCAAATCTCTTCAAATGTTGTTTTAATTCTTAGAGAATTTTAGAATTTTCTTGTTTTTGTCATTCTCGTAAATGAAGCAATCGGATTTCAGAGAATATTCAGATAATATTATTTAAATTATTATATTATTATTTACCAACATTGGTCCTTATATGCCATCTTAAAATAAGAGGGTTGATGAGCAGTGTGACTCCAACATCTAAATGAATCAGGAAACGTTTTTGTTCCTGTCTTCTTGTCTCAGGATTTACAGAATGATGCTCGTCAAAGACTTGTAGAGATTGCCAAGGACCCGGAATATTACTCCGTCCTATTGCAGGGCATGTTGCTTCAG